TTGATATCTTCTCCGCTGATCTGGTGATGGATTTGAGTGATAGATAGACCCCTCTGATTCCTCGGGATTTCTTGTATACTTGCTTGATTTTATTTGATTTTTTTCTTTGAATCACTGACTGATGGATTATTTTTCGTCCACTGTTGATGATGGACTTGACTCGAGAGATGCTCGGTGGCTTGGGTTGGCTCGATAGCAACTTACGCGGCTCAGGAATGACCGGTGAAGACCAACGTGCGGCTGGGATTGGAAGAGGCCTTCAAGCCTTCATCACAAATGAGCTTCATATAGTCCTTGTTTGTTGACGTATCATCCGTTGGACAAAGAAAGATACCGACAAGGTACAATAGAACTCTGGCCTTCAGGTCATCCCCCCGTAAGATCCACTTTTGATTTCCTCTTCAAGTTCAGCATATGTCACCTTTTGCTTCAAATCATATTTGGAGGCAAGTGCTTTCCAGTTCTTACTCTTACAGACTTCTACAACACTTTTGCCTTCATTTTCTACCCCCAATACGGCTGCAGCACATGGGATCCCGAGAGGAAATGAAAAATCACCGTACTTAGCAATACATTGTTTGACATCAAATTGCGCCATCAAGGATCGACACAATTCCCTCCGAATAGGTCGATCCCTTACTCCTACCAATGATCCAAACCCTATTTCTCCTAGCATATTCAACTGACCCTTCTTCTTAAGGTGTTTAATTAATGAATTTACCCTTTTAATGCTGCACCTTGTCGACACTTCCTACATTTTTTAACAATATATAATGTTATAATTCTTATATATTTTGTATCAACGTATTTACAAGTTTATTGAATACCTTATTTTCATGTGTTTTCCTCCGTTCTTTGTATTCTTTACTATCATTCATTGACTGTGTGATGTAAGGTTCCTTTTCAACATCACTCATCGAATTCCATTTGGACCTCACATCTTTTGTCACCTAATATTAAGCATAAATGTTTCTTAATCAATACATTAACACTAAATAATACTCAATGTCAATTTCATTTTACATATCGAATCGCTCTATGTGCCATCTTCCTTCATCCTTTTGCATTCAGCCATACTGTCAACATTTAAAATTTGTAATCAATTTAAAGTTCTTAAATACTTTAATCCAATTGCCATTTCAACAATAATAACAAAAAGACATTGATACTTACTAGAAATACATATATCCACCCTTTGGTTACTTTCGAGTCTCGGCCTCAATTTCAAAGTCATCTGCGCCACCAACAATTTTTCCACCCATTGACTCCATTTTTCCTTCATATATCAGTTTACGCAAATCAAATCAAATACTTGTTACATACACTTTATTCAATATACAAATATAGATAACTACTCTTGTGGTAAAACAATTTTCTTCAAAAGAATTTGAATGACCACTATAAAATGTGTCAGCACATTTATACAACCTATAATATCATTTTCTACCTATAATATTTAATAGAAGTATCGATATTTATATTTTACCTTGAATATCACTTTCTACCTGTAATCGGTCCCAAATGCTTCTTTACTCTAAAACCTCAAACAATACATAAAAACTCTATTTTCGATTACTGTAATAATTAAAAACTAGGGTTTCGACAACATACTTTTCGATTCGACTACAGCAACAAACAAACAAACTTCGCTTTAGAAACGTCTTCTGCAATGCAGTAACAATTACGTTTCGATTTCAAAAACTCGTTCGTTCTATCTATTTTCAGATGATATTTAGCTATGACCTTTATATTTTCATCGGATATGTTATTTATATTTAATCAATACAACTACCAAAGTGTCGATACTTTTATGTCAGGTGTCGATACTTTTATGTCAGGTGTTGATACTTTCGAAAGGATAATTACCTATTTCTTTGAAAGTATCGATAATTTATTACACGTACTTATTAAAGTATCGACACTTTCAATATATCCGCTAGCGCTTTACCGATTTTATCATTTTGATACCGGTTTTATCATATTTTTACCTATTATATCGTTGTGGATCGATACATTTTTATAAAGTATCGACACTTTATAAGCGCTAAAACTACTTCTCTTTTAAATTCACAAAGTGTCGATACTTATATTAAAGTACCGACACTTTAAATATATCCGGTAGCGCTTTACCGGTTTTATCATTTCGATACCGGTTTTGTCATATTTTTACCAGTTATATCGTTGTAGATCGATACATTTTTATAAAGTATCGACACTTTATAGGCGTTAAAACTGCTTTTCTTTTAAATTCACAAAGTGTCGACCCTTATATTAAAGTATCGACACGTTCAATATATCCGGTAGGGTTTTATCGGTATTGTCTTTTCGTGACCGGTTTTATCGTATTTTTACTTGTTATATTGATATGGATCGATACATTTTAAATTTGGATCGACACAAACCGACAAGTTAAGTTTGTCGGTTGGCAAATTTTTTAATATTTCTTCATGACTTAGACCTACTATTATTATTACTCAACATTTTCGGTAGCGCTAAACCGAATTTGTTAAATATCTTTTAATGTATCCGGTAACGCCGTATATTAGCCGTATATTAACCCGCCTTTCCTGAGAACCCCTGCAAATACAGTTTCATTCGAAGAGAGGGTAATTACGTAGAAAATTTTTCAATAATTATTATTAGAGGTTTAATTTTTATGTTCGAGTCTGGTCACTAAAATCTCATAAATGGGTCCGTAACCCACCTGTTAAAGAGGAGAAACTCTATTGGAGGAATAACTTCCCAACCGAGCAGCAAAACACGCCGCTGATGACAAAAGATGGATCGACCCACTGTAAAGATCCAAACGAGAAGAAGGGCTCTATGTTACATTTTCTTTAGGGTAATCTACTTCAAATACCACTCAACTTTAGGCTCGGGCTCGTTTATGTCACCAACGTTTTAATTTTGCCAATTTTAACACTAACGTTTAAGTTTAACTGCAATTATGTCACTCCGCCGTTAATGGCGTAATGACACGATGACATGACACCTCCGCGCTGTGACGTTGCTGACGTGGCTCCCTCACCAAAACGACGTCATTTTGGCATGACTGTGTCGGTGCTACAAACCTCAAAATGACGTAGTTTTGTTTGAGAAAAATTAGTAAATAATGCATTTGAAAGGATTTAAACCCATAACCTTTTGAAATAAAGGTTAATTCTTAACCACTATGCCAACTTAGATTTTTTGATATAATTCTATAAACATAATATACATAACACGAGTCTTCATTCCAAAAGTTATTTTCTAAAAAACCCATGAAATTATTAAAATTCCAAAAAAAAACCTTAAATTCCAGAAAATCTAAAAAAAAACTCCTAAATTCCTAAAAATCCCAAAAATCATAAATAAGCCCGAGCCTAAAGGTGAGTGGTATTTGAGGTAGTTTACCCTAATTTTTAAGTATACTCATTATAGTTTATTTTATTATAATATATAATGTATTCGAAATATGATAATTTAATCATGATGAAAACTATTAACATCAAATTGTTTACTTTTGAATGCACATAATAAATTGTATTTGACTTATTTCAAATATTTTTAACCACTTAAACATATATAATTGATTTTCAACCCAAAAAATAAACATTTAAGATATTGATCTTAAGTGCACTAATTAGAAAAATGTTCTTAACTACTTAATTATAAAGTTTACATAATAATCTGGAACTTTCAGTAAACTAATATAATTAAACTTAAAAATCATTTTGCAAATTTCCAAAATAAAAGGAGCAGAAATTATACGTCATTTTAAACAATTTCATTTCATGGACTAAATTGCACATTTTGTAAAACTGGGCAGAAAACAAATTCCAAACAACACATTGTTTTCGACTTAAAACACGAGATTAACCCTCCTAATGACCGGAAAATTAAACCTAATCACTTATAATACTTTACCAATAATTTTAACACATTAAAATTAAATTAGAATCATTAAAACAACATAAAAATTCAAGATTTTCATGTTATTCAATATACTTTAAACACAAACACTAATGATGTCACTTCTGTTATTGACTCCAAATGAGCATTTAGAACATGCTTTGTAGGGAATTAAATCAATAACACAAGTTCAATGTATCAAACTGTTCAAATATATTATGTTATTGACTCCCTAAAATTTTTTGGAATTTTTAGGAATTTAGGAGTTTTTTTTTGAAATTTTATGAAATTTAAGGTGTTTTTTGAGAATTTTAATAATTTTATGGGTTTTTTAGAAAATAACTTTTCGAATGATTACTCATGTTATGTATATTATGTTTATAAAATTATATCAAACAATATAAGTTGGTTTAGTGGTTAAGTATTAACCTTTATTTCAAAAGGTTATGGGTTCAAATCCTTCCAAATGCATTATTTACTAATTTTTCTCAAACAAAATGACGTCGTTTTGAGGTTTTTTAACACCAACACAGTCATGCCAAATCGACGACGTTTTGGTGAGGGAGCAACATCACGGCGCAGAGGTGCCATATCATCGTGTCATTAACGGCGGAGTGACATAATTGCAGTTAAACTTAAACGTTAGTGTTAAAATTGATAAAATTGAAACGTTGATGGCATAAACGAGCCCGAGCCTAAAGTGAGTGGTATTTGAAGTAGATTACCCTTTTCTTTATTTTTCACTCTCCTGCCCAAATAATCAACGATCGACTCGGGAAAGCAGAAAGAGGAATAGCCGGTTCATTTAGTTTTTTTTAAGTAGAATAGGATAAGTTGGATTATTCTTTAGGGTTTCAGAACTGTTTAGGAGAAATCCAAATGTTGGGACCTTCTAAATGCCACCCAGCTGGCAGATGTTTATGATTTCATAACCGGCTGTTTTTGAGCTCAAAAGAAAATATAACTTAGATTATCAAAACTTACCTTGTCTTGGGAGGGGCTTACAGTTACCCATATTATTTTAAAAACCAATTCAAACATTATCGTCATTCGTCTGATTTGATATATTTTGAAATATAAATAACCACGTCTCTATCCCATTCACAAAGTAAGAGGTAGCAGATATGATAAATATACCATAAGAAACGGTGGCACACAAAACAAAACATTTTCCCTCTATTTTTACATTGAGAATGTAAAGACCAAAAAAAGCAAACAATAACCAGTCACCACTGCAGTGCAGCGAGCCCACCGCAACTGTATGGTACTTTTCTATTTACAATCAGTTTCCGTTTGCCCAATACAAAATATCACTCCTGAACGCTTGGTCAAAGTCTTATCGGCAAATAAATCTTCATTCTCATTTGCACCAACACAAGAACTTCTTTTTCTGCGTCATGCATGCAAACATTACACAATCATTTATCCAACTGATGAAAATCAATCATATAGAGCATGTATCGAAGGTCGAATGTAAATAAATCTTTTTTCGACTTACCCCAGATTTGGTTTCTTCTTGACTGTCTATATATGCAAGGAGTTCTTCCTGCCGAATTAATGCTTCATGAAGAGCCTGCTCACGCATACAAGTTCAGTAAATAACACTCGTATCGCTACTACTCCCATCAAGAAAGAAGAAAACATGTCATCGTTATAGAGACTTATAATGGCATCATCCTAACTCTCTCTGACACCAAACAATTACCTTCTTTGTAGCAATTAATTCTGCTTCTAGCGCATCCACACGATATACGGCAGCATTCAACAACTCCTCTTTCTCATGAGGCATCTCAAATCTTTTTGATTGCAACATCTCAACCTTGTCTTCGAGATCACCCAGCCTTCTTACCACAGATGACACGATGTCTGCCTCAGTAAACACTGGAGCAGGTGAGGGGGGACGAGTTTCCTCCTTGTATGTTGGTTCAACATGCTCCTCAGGAGTGCTACATGTTAACTCGGTTGTACTCTGCTTTTTCATCAGCTTCAATACTATTGTTCGGATAAGAGTTAAAAATGTCAAAAGGGCAACAACTAGGTCAGTAATATAACCATAGATTCCTTTTGGAGTTTGCCTTCCCAGAAGCAGAGGAGTTCCTGCAATTCAAGACAGTAGACTTCAAAGTCAAACATATTGAAAATTTAGAGAAAAAAATAAATAAATCTAGCTCTGGTTTTGGTTACACTGTTATCATTATTCATGAGTTGATTAAATCTGTGACAACGTGCTAAAGAGCTTTGATAAGATGAGCCGAGAAAGAGAAAAAAAGAGATGGCCAAAGCCTGACAATATTCTGTTTATTCTGGGTATAGATTATCACTTGACACGTTGAATTTAATACCATATGCATATGAGGACTTAGATACTAAATGGTTGACACTGATTAGAAGGCATTCGATTTTGAATATAACCACTGTATGCAGAATGATCCTGCGTTAGAAGTTGCAATAAAAACAAGAACTATTTATAGTTAAGATGGTATGCAGTATACACAATAATTTCTTCCGTTATATTAACAGAGTAAAAAAAGAGAAAAAGCTTTTAAAAATAGTTCATTTTACTAACCTTTAGAACTGTATGGACTCTGACGTGACACCTGTCTCTCACATTCAGAATCTACAACCTTATCGATTATGGGAACATATTCGCCATGCTCAGACGAACCACCAGCAGAGATCGATTTGCCAGCCATTCTTGCCTACACAAACATCATGTTCATTGTTGTAACTTAAATCTCAAAGAATCTATAGTGTGAGACGGGAACTGTACTCCTACTTCTTAGGATGTTAACATGTCATTAATACACAGTAAATAAACCATCCACATGCATACTCTTGGATAGAAGAAAGACTATCCTGGCATTAGGTGCTGTTTAAAACTGTGAATCTAGCATGTGAGTGAAACCCTTTTCTCGTCAACCAGTCATCCCAATTTGCAAGTATTTACCTCTTCGCTAACAGGAGCCAAAATTGGGTGTAAATAGCTCCTAGTTTTCTTAGGCGAAGTAATGTCTTCCACTTCCGATCCTGACTCTGCTGCAGATGTATCACTACTCTTCATCTGATAAGGGATAAAAATAAATAAATGCGGAAATAAAACTACAAAATATTTGACTGAATTCTAACAATGCAAAACTCAAAGCTGAGAAGGTGTGATATGCATAGCGAAATACAATTGGTGAATCTTACCACAGGATAACATGGCTTATCATAGGCAATTACCCTTCCTTCGCTGTTTGAAACTGTCACGATTTGTCTAGGAAATAGTGTTTCACCACTGGCAATCATCTGCATGAAGACAGTCACTCGTATTACTTAAAATATGTACGAGACTGCAAATTTATTCAGAGAGTGTATCAGACCTTTAATATGTTGGGGTCTTTCCAGGGACCTTTGTCTGATCTCATACAGCCTCCCTGATCAGCACAAGTGCAACTACCCCCAATAAATTGGGGCAACTCACTAACCATATTCAATATATTAAAGACTTTTAGTTTCCAGTACAACTAAATGTGAATTAATCAATATATCAGCAGCCAAAATAATTTAATTACCTTGCATCAATAATTTCAAGCAACTTATTCTGGTAGTTGCTACCCAGAACCTGAAAGGAATTTAAAAAATGAGGTAACTTCTACCAACTGAGAAGAGTAGATACTTTAGTAGAAAGCCAAATTATACAAAGATCTTGAACTTACATTAATCTTACTAGCTGTTTTAGAATCGAGAAAAGATTTAACAGCTTTCAGACCCATTTTAAAACCTGGACCAGCATTTATGATGAACATTCGGTAAAGAGTCTGCAGAGTGGCATCGATAATAATAAACATTCCTTTGAATATTGAAAATAGAAGCAATATTCACAAAATATCTGAGCACAATAGCAAGTAGAAGAACATCTACCTCGGGATAGTTATCACCATCAATCTTCTGCAGCCGCTTCACAAGATCTTGTGCAGACTTGCTAAAATTTTTGTAACCCTATGAAAAAAATGACTGGAAGTAAGCAATCTAATTTTTTTTTTATAAAAAAAAAACTCTAATTAGACCAACATAAAAATGATGGCAGGGAAGACCATAAAATTAGAAGAACCAGAATAAAACATACCATGCCTTGAACATCCAAAATGGTTGTGCTTGAATCTATGTGTCTCTTTGCAGCAATGGAGCAAGCCGGAAACTTAATTGCAAAACACTTTTCAAATTCCTGCACATGGTATCTCACATATCGATCCAAAGTTGTGACTCGCATGAGTTGGTCAGGTTCAACTTTTCCTAGCAATTCAATGTAAACAGGCCTTCCTTCCTTATCCACCCCATGATAACCCTGAGGGTAGTGCTTCAACACCTCATTCAGCTCACTGAACTCAAAATCCTGATTAAATCATAATAACATTAAAAGAAAAAAGTGAGTATTGCTTTATATAAACATGGGAACAAGTAAATAAACAACCTGGAAATAAAGAAGTTATGCATGTCCTTAAAACTTAGAGGCAAATATCTAATGCAATAACTAAGATCCCAGAGATAATGTGGAGCATTCTTGCAGTAAGAGAGGATCACCTCCAAAATAGTATCAGTTCCAAAGTCTTTCCTCCATTGGATCATATTATCCCACATGTGCTTCGCTTTTTCGATGTCAAACTTCCTTGCTTTCAAGAATCTGCAAGAAAACACCTATTGCCGTAAGCACAGCACAAACAGACCAATTCTGTTATGTTTCTAAAGATAAAAGTAAAAGGATTGCAGCTTTTAACCTACCTGAGTAGCATATGATAATCGTCATGTCTAGCAGGAAGCAACTGCTCGGCAATTAATGCTTGACGGAAAGCATCAACAGTCTGCAACTCCTCGATGTCTCGAAAATCCTTAATCGAAAGAGAGAGACCGCTTTTCCTCCTACTACCTTTCTTCTTAAGAGAACGTTTAAATTTACTCGACGCCTTTATCGCTTTTTTCTTAAGATTTCCAATTCTAGTCTTCCTGTCCTCTTCAGAGACTTCGAAATCCGATTTCCTATCTTTTCTATCGTCATTAATAGTAACACCTTCAAAACCTACATAATTAACAGCAAGTTCATCGACGATTCCTCAAAAATTGAATTTCAATCGGAGATTCAGAAATATCAGTTCAGATGATGCAGCAAATAACAATCATGAAACTAATAAGTATAAACCGCAGAATTGGTAATTGATGGAGCAAAAACGGTTTAAAAAGAAAAGCAGAGAAGTCCACTTACAGGGCCTTGCGAAACGATCGAGATGACCGGACATGTTTGAGGAATCGGTATACAGTCGTCAAAACTGTAACCCACGATCAAGAACGTGAGGATATGATAAATTTTGGAAAACGAAACCGAGAATGGATGAGAGGGTAGCAAACAAGTAGAGATTTACTAGTGGGATCTGAAAAGAAACGGTGGTTCATACAAATCGATCTTCGGGAATGACGTGGCTGCTCAAGTGTAGACAAACAAACAGACAAAAGAAGAATAAATTAATAAACAAATACATCGTAGAAAACTATAATCTACAAAGTTTTATATTTATTTATCATTTATTACCGATAGATTTAGTAAAATCAGACTCAAAAAATCGATTTTTTTTATTGGATTCAGTTTAAAAATATTTTATTCGAATTATAATTTTATAAACTTGATTTGAAAAAAAAATTCAAATTCAAATCGAATTATAAAATACAATTTGAATAGAAACTCAAATAACTCAAAAATTTTATTAATTAATAGATTGATTTTTAAATTAGAGTCGAACTCTCTTTATGTTAATTAAATTAGAATAAAATAGTATTATAATATTATAAATATTTATAATTAAATTTTTTAAAAATTCAAAAATTTAACTCAAAATTCAAAAAATTTCAAATCAAATTTAAATTATAAAATAAAATTCATTAACTCAAAAAACTTAAAAAATTATTCTACTCGACTCGATTGGATCCAACATTCACACTTAATCAGCGGAGCAAACAACGATCAGAAAAGGGACCAGCCAGTGGGTCCGACGTTCTCTCCGTTTGAAAAGTAAGCAGGTAGCTTTCATATCAGCTGCAGTGCGCATAAACCTTTCGCGGGAATTTTGCCGACGGTTAACGAGTTTCTGTCGGTGCCTTAACTTGTTTTGTTTTCCATTAATTGTACCGGTTGTATTGGTTAAAACCCAGAATAAATTTAGTTTTTGAGTTCATGTAAATTCAGTCCTGCTTCATAATTTTTTATTAATTTGATTTTTACTTTTATACTAAATTTAATAATTCTTTTAGGAAAAATCAAATGTAAGCCTTTATTTAAAAAAATAATCGAACTTTTTTACAAAAGAAATATCAAATAAAATCTTTTAATAATTGAAATGTATTTTAATTTTTAGTTTTTAAATTTAAATATTTTTAAACTATTTATTAACAGGGCATATATCAAATAATTTTATGTTAGTATGAAATATATTATACAAGCAATCACATCAAAATAATTAAAGAATAATTTTTAGTCAGTATGTTTTAGAGAAAAACAATTTAACTCTTTTAAAAACATTAAGTTATATATATTTGATATATATTGATTAAACTTTTAACAAATTTTTATTAATATGTTTGATTTACTGAACACTTCTATGAGAATGTGAGATAAATTTGAAAATTAATCTGGTTAGATAAAAAATGATATTACTCTATTTTATTTTTAAAATTTTTTTATTATTAATAAATATTTTAATTGATATTTTAAAGTTTTCATTTTAATTTACAGATTAAATTGACATCATAAACGTCGGGAACTTTTAGAATTTATTTAATCATTTTCTTGCACATGATATATATTTTCTGTAAATAATCATGCATATATAAAACCGTATTTACAGAGGTAACAATTTGTAATGTTTATCTGACTGAGAAAATATTTTTTTACGGTTTTTGTGATTACCGATAATTTTCATTCAAAATCTTTCTTAATAATTGATAATACACTTCGTGGGCATAGTTGTTCAAACCAAAAATTTTGAGAGAGAATAATACCGTCTTTAATCACTGAGACCACTTGATGGATTTAAAAAGTTTTAATAGATTCAAGGATTAGGCAACCTAACTAATTAAGATGGTTATTGCAATAAATTATGGATCAAAACACAATGTGAATGAAACTCTTTAAAAGGGTACAAACTATAAATTAAGAAGTACAAGAGTTAATATTGTTAATGGATCAAGCTTGGTCGGTCTTGTAAGCTTGTAAATTAAACAAGATGACCAAATTTGTTCCATTGAAACCAAAACTAGCACTTATGATTCTCCTAGCCGACTTATGGGCTAATAAGATGATCAGTATTTTTTCCTCATAATAATATATATGTCCCAAGGTCTTTAATATCTATTGTGGCTTCCAAACTAGCAAGCCACAGCCGTTCTCAAGTTCATCCGGTGAAGTTATGCGGCGGCGGTGGCCAAATACCGCCACCACTGTCGCTAGTCACATAAGACATGCACGACAATGGTACTAGACATAGACCTCGACTTCTGAGATCTCGTTGTGCTAATTCTTCGTTCCCATCCTCCATCGTTGAACCCTAAAAATCAATTTTCAACGTTAAAGTTATACTAGTAATTGGAATTATTTGAATACCCCTTGTTCCATAAAATTACATGAAAGAAAAAATAGTTATAGTTTCCATTGCCAAATGTGGATAGGTTTCGCTTACCCCTTGTTTGGATCTGGATGTTTTATTGCGTGATGACTTCATATACGGAACGCTTAATGTCTGCCGAAAACAGATACATTAATCATTCAGTGATATATACATACAAGAAAGTAAGGACTGAGCTCTAAACTAAAGGGAGACAGTTTCTGTCTTTCTTTTTGTGCCGAAAAGAACTGAAGAAACTCAGAAATCTGATCAAAATCAAAAGAAACAAAAATTTCCATGGCGTGGTTAAAATATATATGTTGTAATAGTTGTTCAGTGGGATGAATAAAATAATGGACCTTAACTTGGACTCGGTATACTTTTTAGAGGAGAGAAGCACAGAATTATACAACCCTATAAAGAACCCTAGCCAGCTACTTTGGCCGAGTATTTTAGGGTAAACTACTAGAGAGGCTAGCATGTTGGGGGCTTGCAGTCCCACATAAGTAGCCGTTTCCGATGGGTTACACATTGAGGTGGAAATAATATTTTAAGAATGTGTCAGAGAATAGTTAATAGTGAAATATAATAATGTAAGACATCGCAAACTTCAAGGAGAATGTTTTGGGAAGGTGATTCTGATGGGTACCTCGACTTGATTTTGAAGGAATTTGATGTATCCAATAGCCTCCATTAGTACGGACGCTGTATCTGTCTGTAGTATTCTCCCGCATGCAAAAATAACCTCGTCATTTTCCATTAATCATCCACTAATAAAATAAAAAATCTTAAACTAATATTATTACTAAATAAATAAATCTCTCTCGCTCTCTTCTGTTTTCTTTTATTCTTATCAGCATAGCAGGTACTGCTAGTTGCATATTATTGTGTTTCTTTCCTCTTTTACCTTGCCAAAAGGAGCAACCAATTGATGTAGAGCTGCAATTCTGTCCCCCAGTTTCTCTTTCCTAACCTGTTAGATGTTGATGCAAAACCAAACATAATACTCCACTTAAGGTCGGAAAACATGTAAATTAACAATCAATAATGTCATGTTTAAGATTGTTGGTCACCTTAAAGGGAGGGCAGGAGGCGCGTGACTCCACACGAGATTTCTTGGCTGCTGCTGCTGTTGCCTTTGCTTCCGGTAGATTACTGGGTCTCTTTGCCTCTGTTATTTCAGTGGGGAAGGGTGATACCTTTCATGGAGTGCAAAGAGTAAAGATCAGTTAAATGATCATCCAAAAAAAAAAATAGAAATGAAAATAAAGGCATAAAGTTCTTCTGGTAAAGATATAAGCATACATCGATTAAAGCTGAAGGGTGCCCCCTATATCATTTCTTTTACTGGGCATAGTTTTGAACATGATAATATTCTTATATGAATAAAGGTTTTCAACTTTCAATCTTTTTTTCCTTAGGATCGTTTAAGAAAGTGCTTCACTAACTAATCATATTCTACTTATTTTCGTGTTAATTAGTCGAGTACTAGATTGTATTATAGTGATGCCAATATTCTCATTAAAATTCCATGATTTAGTTCAATGCATGAAGTAAAAAAAAAATAACATGCAGTGTTATATTTTAAACTTGAGAGCCATGACAGTGCAGTGTAGGAATTACAATAATGTTTTGTACTTGAGGCATGGTTTGTAGTAGAAATGAATGCTGCTACAAGAAAGAATAGTGAGCACTTACTTTACTAAGGGAATAAGCGGCTGGCCTTTGATTTGACTGCAGCAAATTATGGTGGTGATGGAGACCAAAAGAAGGGCTGATCTCTTTGTATATACCAAGATTATCGTGATGATCCTCTGAAGGATAGCTAAATCTACTGCTTCTGCTAAATCTCGCAGGATTTAAGAGATCCAAGGCCTCCAAATTCATGACAAAGGAGCTCGGGATATTCGGGGGAGAAGAAGCTTGGTTCAAACTTGAAATATTTATACTAGGATAAATCTGGCTGAAACTCCCTCTACTTGGTGAAAAACTACTCCTAGGGATAGAACAATTCTGGGTACTTGGATAAAATTCTGGTTCTGCAGAAAACATCGGGAAACCAGAGGATATTGTCTTGAGCAATAGTTTCTCGCTGAGATCATTCAAATCTCTTTGCCCGTTATTCTTCAAGTAGTTTGCTTGAGGCAGCTGGCGAGTATCTCCGACGCTTGAGGAACTGTCGCTTAGGATATCGGTAAATCTCGTGGTGAAGCTCCCATCGCTGTTAGCCCAGTCTTGGATCATGGAATTGTTTTGAGGAGATACTAACATGTCATTTTTCTGCCTTGAGTGCAATATATCCCCATTATAATTTGGATTGAACTCACTGGAGTTCCTGGGGGGAAAATGAGAGTATAAATTGAACAAGTATCTGAAATACTGTACTTGGTGAATCGACAAGTTCTAGGAATCCAAAAACAGTGCAAGAAAAAGAAAATATTCTTCTAAGAAAAAACAACTGATAAATAAGTAAATTTTTAACTACATAATTGTGATTGATGCACATCAAATCAGAAAAGAAAAAAGGGAGATAGATTCCGGAGTTGAAGTAAAATTCATAATAGCCTGTGAAGCATGAAGAGACATGTATATTTGTAGAATGCTTCATGAGAGAGAAAGGGTAACTTACAAAGTAATACTTGGGTCGGTTGGGGTCCAAGAATGGGTGCTTGAAACTCCATAACAGGGAGAGATAGGTAAAGAAGAAGATAATCCAACAAGCTGGTCTTGAAGCTGGTGCTGG